AAAGCATGGAACCGTGTATTTATTTTTGTCCATTTTGAACAACCCTTTAGTTATTTTCCAAATAAATTATAAATTATTATTCATTACAATTTTCCTATAAAATTAGGCCATCCAGTTTTGATTAACTTCCAGTTTCATTATTTCTTGAGGCATTCAAAAAGGTTCCTCTTCAAGTGGCAAATAACTGAAAATGACACTAATATCTTGAATTTTGCAACAATTTTTGTTAGAGTTTTTAGGATGCTTTGTGGTCTTTCATCTACTCTTGTTTTCATTTGAAAAAGCAAGTTGTGTAGTGTTGCATATCTGTTTAGAATCAATAAAAAAAAGTATTTGTCAACTAGTACTTGACTAAAGAGTCACTTTTTTACGTCAAATAATTAATAACTCATATGTACATTAAATCATGTTGTTATCCCTATTATCTTTTATGAAGATGTCTGTATGTCTTGAGATTTTTTCCTACAAAATGAACGTATTTTCTTTGTTATATTAAGGTTTTAATTCATAACCTTACTCATACCAATTAAACTCAAAACAATGCAAATCCTTTTCTTTTTGGCAGTCGATGCAAAGCTTAATTAAAATGTTAAAACGATGTTATACTTTTTTTTTTGAAAAGGATGTTTGGTCTGATTGGTATCATGAGTTATCATTGATTTAGGTCTAACTCAAGAATAACTCAAAAATATTACCAATCATGTGTCAAACAATTTTTTTATAATTTGAGTTTGAATTAGGATGTGTTATAATTGATTTACCATTTTGATCATGTGTCAAATATTACCAGTTCCAACTGAGTGTCGTCATATATCCGTACTGGATGGTTTCTGGTGAACCATCAAACCGGCATCATTTTTTGAAAGTTTTGAGGATACTTCCATCCTATCGTTCGCTTTCCTCTTCGTGCTATTATCTCCATCTTCATTGCCTGGTTTTTGTTGAGCTTTTTGTCCCTCGCTGATGTTTCTTCTCTTTCTAGACCATGACGATGTCCTTTGTTGAGAGTTTCTACTCCGGCCACTAATTCCAGATGAACTAGCTTCCATAGTTCCCATGTTGAAAACCCTTTGATTGGTGTCTGGTACAAAATTATCACCTCCCACCTGTTGATGTTGTACCTTTTGTATCCTCTCTTCTGGTCTTGCCAAAGGAATTATTGCTTTCTTATTCATGATGTGTTCTACTGTTTCAGTGAATCTTTCTGTCCCCTTGCTGATCACTTCTGAGTTATGTGTTAGTGGACTATTCACCATCTGTGTCTTACTAAAATCAAAGACCAATCCTTTATCTTTGTTCTAATTCGTGCTAACTACATGTGGCGCTTCCAGTCTCAAACACGAACTTTGGGCCGTAGGGTCTTTAGAGAGGTCATTTAGGGTCTTGATCATCAATTGTTCTCTGATTCTTCTTTCATGAGGATCCAAGCAAGACATATAGGTTTTCATCTGTTGAAAGACTTCCGGAACCACAACTGAGGCAGATGGCTCAAAACCAGGAGGTGCAGTCGGAGCCAGTAAAGGCATCAATTGCTCAACTAAATTAGTATGGAGTTGGCGAACTGTGTTATTTTGGATGTATCCTTGAGTTGCCTGTGCATTCTCCTTATTCTACTTATTCCTGCTCTGCTTTTGACCTTGAAACAGGGGACATTTTTGTTTTTCGTGAGTCAAACGCATGCAATGAAAACATTTCTTTCCGAACTCGTTCATACTCCACTTCAACCGTTGCAGTCCTGCCTCCTGAGATATTGATGATCTTCGTATCTCCAATTTAGTTATGACTAAAGCTCTCACGCACTCTTGTACATGCGGTTTCTCCGGATCGTAAGCCACCTCTTTGACATGACCAATCCCACTGCCAATTGCTTTAATAGTAGTCAGTGTGAAATAATTCCTTGGGATCTTATGTATCCGTACTCCAGGCGGGAGCCTCTTGTAAGAAGTTTGGTGACGGGTTCTCAACCCATCGATCCATGACCATACCCCAATCATCAAAGGTCCAGAAACCATGACGCATCACCGTAAGGAGATCTGTTTCCAAATCGAAAAAGAATTGAAATTAAACTTTCTCTTGCCACGAAAATCTTCCAGATCTTTGGCATCATCCGTGCCATATTCTCACAATCCGGGTTGAGTAGACGCCCAACTAGGCTATTATTACTCTGTTCAACAACGCTAAAATTTCCTTCATCATGTAACTCAATCGGTATATCCTCCTCCAGAGACATGCCTTCTAACGCTTGTGATAGCGCTATGTCCATCAACAGTAGAAGAATCTCTTTCCTTGTCTCTCTAACTTTGTGAGTACAAGAACTTTGATAGCGGCTGCAAGAACCCTAGAAAAACATCTTTTAGGTTTGAAGATTTGAGGAAATAAGGTGAAAATCTCAACAAATCATCATTAAAACTGCGTGAATATTGGAAAATTTCCAAAAAATCTCTTTAAGAGCGGCAAGGCAAATAAGATTTGCTCTAATCTCATTGGCTACTTCAAAGCCTCTTTGAGAAAGAGAGAGTCTTAAGCAAAAGATATACACATGAAAAATTAGTTGATTTGTTCTTAAAACTGGTTTTTCCTATTGATTTATTGGTTCTCTCTTCCTTATTCCATTGAACCAGCCTGGTCAAAAATTCACATTACATAAAATAAATTTAGTTGCGTTAACAAAATAATTTCTGTAATGATTAAAAAATAATAAAATACAATGAACTGTAAAGATTTGAAGGTCTGGCTTCTCTCCTTTTGTTTCATTTCAGAGTCAATAATTTCTCAATTCATCAAATCCATTCTTCTTCTTCCTCCTCCTCTGATTCCTTTCCTGAGAAAAACCCTAGCACCCTCCCTCTCTCATTTTCCCCCAAATTCCACGATTAAGGGGGAGATAGTAAATCGAATCCTCTCATAACCATGTGTATAGTGCTGCGGCTTATGGTGATTTGGAGAAACTTCATAGATTGGTTGAGTGTGAAGGTTGCTCTGTTTCTGAGCCTGATGGTCTTGGTTACTATGCTCTTCAATGGTCCGCTTTGAACAACCGCACCGCCGTTGCGCATTATATTGTCGAGGTCTGGTTTTTTTGTGCTTTAGCTCGTCGAGATTCCGATTTTACGTTTTTGCTTGTTGTTGCTCTGGAGGCTATGTTTACTTCTCCATGTGTTAGCTTATTCATGAGCATTAGATTTGAACTGTGGCTCTCAAGTTTCTGAAATTGATTCGGGTGGAGATATAAACGCGACGGATCATACTGGACAGACTGCATTGCATTGGAGTGCTGTTCGTGGTGTGATACAAGTTGCAGAACTCTTGTTAAAGTGTAGATGCAACCGATATCTATGATTCCTCTCCTCTTTAACTACTGTGTATTGTCTTTTGTTTGAATGCTAGTATTGTTTGTCATCTTGTGTAAGATAAATGTGTTCTGAGGTTCATCACCACTTCCTACTTTACCACTTGTTTCAATAGGAATATGAGCTTATGCTCTATCAACATTATGCATAAAAAAAATGGCTTCATCTAAGTACATGCATGGTCCTTGTAAAATTAGATTACTTGTCTTGGAACCATACGTAAAGCCAATAGAGACAAGTTTCATTTAGCCTTGATTTTAATAAGATTTTAGAACGTTTAAAATTCTCAAGAGAACTTGTTCCTACCATCTCCATTTATTCTTTGAATTTCTTAGTAAAGTTTGGACTGTGCTTTAACTGGATCCTACCAAATTTCCCTTCTCCTTTTGTTTAGTTCTCAATGGTTGCATGTTAATAGCCTTCTTAAACTGCTTGTAGCCAACACATGCATGTTGCAGCACAGTATGGCCAGACTGCTTTTCTCTGCCACGTCGTCTCAAAGTGGAATGCTGATCCTGATGTTCCCGATAAATGATGGAAGAAGCCCCCTTGCACTGTAAAGATTTAACGCTGATCCTGATGTTTGGTTTATTTTTGAATTCTCGACTGTATCTTGATAATTTAAATTATTAGTCGTGAAAGATAATTCATACTAGGTAATTTCGAACATTTTTTCTAACATGTTTAAATTTAATATTAAAAGTATTATGAATTATGAGTTATGAAAAGCTAAGGTATTATAGCATGTAAAATGTTTTATACGACGAACTCAAATTTTTTTTTTTGACGAACTCAATTATGTGCTGAATAATGAAAGACACCAAAGATTTGTTTTTTTAACAATAACACTAGACCCAAGGCAGGCTGTCACAAATCGGCGGACCCCAACCAATTATTAAATCCCATTCATAAATTAGAAAAATTCTTTACACTACCAAAAACCTAAAAAAGAAGATCTCACTCGTCGCCTCATTTCCTTCATCTCCCTCTTCGATCTCCGTCTCCGATTTCTTCGAATTAGGGTTTCGTCTGAGAAGAAGAGAAGATGAGAGAAATCATTAGCATTCATATCGGACAAGCTGGGATCCAAGTCGGGAATTCGTGCTGGGAGCTTTACTGCCTCGAACATGGTATTCAGCCCGATGGAATGATGCCAAGGTATGTGTAGATATCTATCGCTCTTCCCTTTCCATTTTATTTCTGTTGGATCGAAGGTTTTTGAGAGACGAACATGGCTTTTTGGTTTGTTAATTCGCAGTGATACTACAGTTGGCGTTGCGCACGATGCTTTCAATACTTTCTTCAGCGAAACTGGTGCCGGCAAGCATGTTCCTAGGGCTGTCTTCGTTGATCTCGAGCCTACTGTTATCGACGAAGTTCGTACCGGAACTTACCGGCAGCTTTTCCATCCCGAGCAGCTTATCTCCGGTAAAGAGGATGCTGCGAACAACTTCGCCAGAGGCCATTACACTGGTGAGAACACCATTTTCTCTCTGGGAATTGATAATTCTGGGTTTGTCATGTTAGGGTTCTTAAAATGATGGTTTATATAATTATTGCAGTTGGAAAGGAGATTGTGGACCTTTGCCTTGACCGTGTGAGGAAACTAGCCGACAACTGTACTGGCTTGCAAGGGTTTTTGGTGTTCAATGCTGTTGGTGGTGGAACTGGTTCTGGGTTGGGTTCTTTGTTGTTAGAACGTTTGTCTGTAGATTACGGAAAAAAGTCTAAGCTTGGATTCACCATTTATCCTTCTCCTCAGGTACCTTTCTTTCTTACTCACTCACTTATTGATGCAGAGAGATTCATAGTTTTTGTTAGAAGAACTCATTACATTACATTACATGTTTCTTTAGTGGTCTAATTTGGTGTCCCTCCCTGATTGTTTCTGTATACTATGCATCTTGAGTTTCAACGGTTTGCCTTTTGATCTATCTCAGGTTTCTACAGCTGTTGTAGAGCCTTACAACAGTGTTCTTTCTACCCATTCCCTACTTGAACACACCGATGTAGCTGTCCTCTTGGATAACGAAGCCATCTATGATATTTGCCGTAGATCACTAGATATCGAGAGGCCAACCTACACAAACTTAAACAGGTTGATATCTCAGATCATATCATCCCTGACAACTTCACTGAGGTTTGATGGAGCCATCAATGTGGATATCACTGAGTTCCAGACCAACCTTGTCCCGTATCCTCGTATCCATTTCATGCTTTCATCGTACGCACCGGTCATCTCAGCTGCAAAGGCTTACCATGAACAGTTATCAGTCCCTGAGATCACCAATGCAGTGTTTGAGCCTGCTAGCATGATGGCAAAGTGTGACCCGAGGCACGGGAAATACATGGCGTGTTGTTTGATGTACCGTGGAGATGTTGTTCCTAAAGATGTAAATGCTGCTGTTGGTACCATCAAGACAAAAAGGACTGTTCAGTTTGTTGACTGGTAAGAATTGGAACAACAAGTTGCTATATTGTTTTTCTTGCCTTCATGCTGTTTTTATAAACGATTCATTGTCTTGGGTTTTGTTTTGCAGGTGCCCAACTGGGTTCAAGTGTGGAATCAACTACCAGCCTCCAACAGTCGTCCCTGGAGGTGACCTGGCCAAGGTCCAGAGAGCCGTATGCATGATCAGCAACAACACAGCGGTTGCAGAGGTGTTTTCACGGATCGACCACAAGTTTGATCTTATGTACGCAAAGAGGGCATTTGTGCACTGGTACGTCGGTGAGGGAATGGAGGAAGGTGAATTCTCAGAGGCACGTGAAGACTTGGCCGCACTGGAGAAAGATTACGAAGAAGTTGGTGCAGAAGGTGGAGACGATGAAGAAGATGAAGGTGAAGACTATTGACACCTTTCCTAAAAAAAGAGTGCAACCAAAAAACTTTTTTCGGTTTTCTGTTTCTACTTATGATTCTTGTTGATTACATGTTTGCTTTAATCCTGTACAATTTTCGTTGCACTTCCTCCACCTTTCTGTTTTATCTCGGTTCAATACAATGTCATTGGTAGAGCAAGACTAAGTGTGAGTTCCCGAGTTCATTATCAAGCTTTTGTTGTACCAAACTTTCAGTATCTTCTTACAATGTCCATTTTTTTCTTTAGGTACAATCTTGTCTATTGAGACATTGTAGAGATGTGTTCTACTTTACATTCATAGATTCAAAATTACATGAATTGAATAAGGAATAGTTAGATTGGATCATGTAGGGCAGAATAGTTGGGAAAGCGAAGGGAGATCCCAAATGGGATCGGTAGGATCGAAGATTGCATATTCTGCATCCATGTTTTCGTAGTAACCATTAGCTCCATTCATTGCATATAGCGATGCAGATATCTGTCTTTCGATTTCAGCCAGACCCAAATGTTGTTCGGTCGAGTTTGGATCGTTGAGATGTCCATGTGTTTCTTCCCCTCCCTGAGCCAAAGGGACCTGATGGTTGAATCCAGAGACAAGGCCGGGCCACGAGTAAGGAAGCTGGAGACCATCGGTCTCTGGTTGTCCAATGACCGATGAATCCGGGCGGTACACATTATTGAGCGGCAGAGCCGTTGTGGTGAGACTAGTAGCAGTCGGAGTGTAGTTGATGCTGCATTCCGCAAAAGAAGAGACGGGTTTGAT